ACATCATCCTTCGAGTGGAGTGTTATTTTCTTTCACTTTAGTTTGTCAATCACTAACATAAATAAAACCCAAGGGGTGCTTTCCTCTTCTTTAACAATAACCCCATCTTCTTCCATCTCTGTGAGCTTCTCTCGTGCTGGTTCAAGAAGTGCACTTGGAGTTTTCCTGGGAGGATGTACCACTGGAGGAACTAACGGATCAACTTCCACATGTACTTTGTTAGGAAGCTTGCCAGGTTTATCACAAAACATTCTTGCTCTGGTTGTTTTGACCCTGGAGTAGTTATCAGTTCAAGGTTCATAAACTCAAGGACTTCTAAGTCTAGACATGCATCACAACCCAGCAATGGTGTAAAATTTCCATCAACATGGTCAATTCCGTGGACGTAGAAAAATCTCTTAAAGCTGCGGGGTAAATCGCTATTGTTCATCGGATGGTCATCATTGGTGTGCGCTTCTTGACTCTCAGTCTTGAAAAATTTGGAGGCTCTTTTTTCTTTCCTGTTGAATTACGATTGAAATTTTTAGATCTAGAAGGTCTCCCCTTTTTTAAAGGAACATTTTAACTGTGTGGCAGATCCTTCATTCCAAGGTACCACTCAGTGTTTGTGAAATCATGCAAAGAGGAAATACTTTGGAACAACCGCTTTATTAAGATCGGCGGAAAGACGTTTTTTTAATAAAGCATGAGTTAGTAATTAAAAGGCATTTGAAAAATCAAAGATATCCTCAATGCTTACGATAACATCCTATCTTTCCAATACCTTAAAGATACTTTCGACGTTCGTCGTACCGTTCTTGATTACTGTGGTCTTCTGGCTGCGATTCCTAAAGATTGGGAAAATGCTATCTTACATCGCAATCTGGCACACACCGACGAACCAACGGTGACACAACTAACTGTTGGAAATGTTTCAGCAAAATATGTTCGACTCATGTTTTCTGAGAAATCTTTCTGCCCTCCATTAATTTAATCCTACTCTAGAAAACAAACATTCACTCCTAGTGCCGTATATGAGCTTCCATTAAAAATCACCTTTGAAAATAAGCTAAGAAGTTTTCAATTCAAACTCATCCCCAATATTCGTCCAACCAACGCCCTTGGAAAATGAATGTTAAATCTTCTCCAAAATGCAAACAATGTGATGCTCACTGTGGAACTATTTGCCATATATTTTACGAGTGTCCTGCCCTGAAAATTTTTGCGGAAAAAGTCGTAGATTGGTGGAATCGTAAACGTTTTGAAAACACAAATCCCATTCCAAGGGAAGTTCTTTATGGATACAAACCTGAATCTAACAGCTTTCATACTTTTACCCATTGTCTGTTAATTGCCAGATTTTACGTTTACTTAGTTAGAAACAAGTTTGAGACCCCAGAACTGGAGGTCTTCATTGTTCTCCAAGAAATTAAAATCCAGTGCGAAAGAGAAACTGCAACAACAAACAGGAATCTTAACAAATACAGAAATAAGTGGACCACCCTGTTCATTTCTGATTAGTGTTGATTTGTAGTAATTTGGCAAACGCCCACTATTATTATTTTCTGTTTGTTCTTCTAGTTGTTGTTAATTTGTTGAACTCTCGTATTTCGCGTGTTTTGCTTTTTTGTTTGTTTGTTGTTGTTTTTGTTTTTTTTACTGTTTTGCCTCTTTTTTTGGCCGCCCTGTTATTGTAAAGTGTTTTGTAATGTTATGTCGAATGATGTTAAATAAATAAATTATAAAAACAACAGATACAACAACAAAAATAAACAACAAGACGATACAAAAGGTTAAGTTCATGACTCCCATATTAAATTGGAAGCCTCACACAGAGCCCTTTGGATGGATGGGTTTAAGTGCAAGCCAACCCTTCAAAGGTTGCTGAATTTTCTGAAGAGGTTTGTTTGTGATTTCCTTGTACAACTTATAGAGGATGACTGTAGCCTCTGCCCCCGGTATCTTTGATCTTTGATCTGTACGATTTTGAGTGTACGATTCTTTCGAGGGCCGGAGACACTATCCAGCTCAACCGATCCAAAATATCTGTGCACATCGTGATTCATTGGAGGCTCATGTTCCACAGCTGCAAGTTGAGAACCTTTAGCACTTAATTCTTTGCACACTTGTGCAAAGTGTCCTTCCTTCTAACACTTGTTGCATTTCTTTCCAAGAGCAGGGTAGCGAGGTGACTGAGTAAATGGGTGATTGTAACCACAAAACTTACAGTAACGAGCAGTTGTCTTTTCTTGAACCTTGAATTTCTTAAGAGGGTGAAGTGAAAGTTCGGTAACCGCAACTGTTGATGTGTTAGACTTGTATTTCTGTAGTTCGGCTGCCTCGAGTGTACGACAATAATCATGAACAGTTTGTAACGTTAAATCTGGTTTCTTCAGCAGTTCACTTCGCAATTCGTCTGACAAAACTCCTCCGCGATGCGATCAGGAATGAGCGAATCTCCAAGGCCGGAAAATTCACAAGTTAAAGGCAGTCTTTTCAGTTCACTGACGAAATTGTCAATCCTCTCACCGTCCTTCTGGTTTCGCTGATTAAACCCCAGGTTGCTCATAAATTACATTTCTAGCACCCTAGCACAACTCCTCGAATTCGCGACAGACATCTTGATAGCATCTTTGTCTTCTTCATTGGTAAACACAAAATGACTGTACTCTTCGATAGCCTCTGGTCCAGTACAATGTAACAACATATTTACCTTCAGTTTGTCCGCTTTATCATCTTTACCTTTCGCAACAACGTAGATCTCAAATTGCATGAAAAATTTCTTCATGTTCTCAGCAGCATTCGGGTCTAGGAGCATTATGAACCGGACATTCGAAAATCTCCCTCGGCCATTGTACAACCTACAGAAATACAACTCAACAGAAAAATTGTTTGTCCCATCAACTCGTCCGATAATTCCTCACAGTTCGGCAGGGCAGATAACCACTGTTATCCCACTTTCTGACACCATGTTATAAGATCGTTAATAAAGCTAAAACTGAACAACTACGGTAAAGACTATCCTAACATATTCTTGTCCTAAGCAAGTCAA